CACACACACACGCATAGAGTCACATCCATGTACTCATATACTCAAAGTGCGAGAGGAGAGTGAAGTGAGCACTAGCGCCCCCGCGACCCCAGCTCCCTCCTTCACTTCATGTCGCCTCTTTTCCCACTAGCTCATGCCTACTGCACACATGCGTGTCCGTCTGTGCCTGTTAGTGTGCCTCAGTCTGTTTGTGGCAAGGGTTTTCTGATTGTTCCGGCTTGTTTACAGTCTCCGGCCTGAATATGACCATTTCCAGTCGCTCGCCGTCTCCCCTCAACCCATCTCGGTGGCCAGAGGTCATCCGGCCTCGTGGTACCCCCTCGGACACACCGACCCTTGCTGCTCGTCCCGGCCGACCCCCTCTCAGACCCTCCGACCCTTGGGCTTGCCTGTCCGTCTGCCTGCTACCGAGGTTCGCCGGCCTCACTGGTACTCTCGGCATCAGCATCCATCACAAAGCGACTCGCCTGCCTGTCGTGACTTCTTCTTCGAGGCCCACCTCACCGGACCGGTGCCCTGGGCCCCATGACAGAGGACTGCGTCGTGCTACGTCCCCTTTCGGTCGACAGTATGAATGGCATGGGGCAAAATGGGAATCCCCCTCTTTGAAAGGATGACTTCGAGGCGAGTTGTGCTTGGCGAGTTGGTCGGTTGCGGCCAGATCGCTTGGTTCAGGGTCTCGAGAACAAGCGCCTCTGAGGCAGCGCTACCCGCATGATGCTGGGGACGATTGTGAAACGCGATTCACATGCCGGCCACTTTCTCTACTCCCCAGACTGCCTGCATCTCTTCTGCAACTGCATCTAATGAAGTGGGTCGAGATGGCGGTTGACTTAGGCCCCAGTTCACAACGCCAAAGGAGTGTGTTGAATAGAGGACTCGAACGCCTGGCCACGTATCCACCCGCAGGCCTATTCGAGCCCGGAGGCATTCACGTGGCTTCTCGGCCACGCGCCAACGGGGTCAGTCCATCCGACGGACTCGCTCGGTCGCATGCAACAAATGTCAGGCAACTCCCCGCTCTGACGTAAGACCATCCAA